TATAAGTTCACCAATGAAAATTGTCGCGTCCCTCTCGAAAGATTCGAAAGTCGGCCTCACTCGTTAATACGAAATCCCACGAACGAGTGAAACGTTACCAGCCGTTTACGGTAACGACGTCGAGCCAAGCGCGAAAGAGCCTCAACGACTAGACCATAAACGAGATTGACATATGCTGTATATAGTATATGCTATATATGTATATACAAGATTTAGAGATATATACGTATACACAGAACGGACCCCCAACGACAATCTTGATAATCGTAATGCCCTGCGTGTCTGTAGGAATGAATATACACGTATTCACGTTTTATATTATTTGTGCTATGGCTTATCTGTGAGTATATTTATATTGTATATATATATATAGTATATATATTGTGTATATATATATATACGAAACTGTATAATGTGCACGTATAGTAATGCTATCTGTATGAAGTACCCGCACCCTCTTATCATCTGGCAAATTTAATAGAACGAGCGTCAATATTAATCTAAACGAACGTGAGACGATAATTCCGTTTCCTCTGCTAATTACCACTCCCTTATTAACTGTGCTGCTCTTGGTAAACGTAGCTCATCTATTCCCTCTAGTATTCCTGTTCCCATTTCGACTGGCCTTGTGCATTCGAGATACTAGACAGGAGGGTTGCCATTTCCAACTTTATCATTAAGATCCTTCGGCCTCGACGCGGATAAAAGTAGCTGCTGCGTTTCGCTCGTCGGACAGCCGTGTCGGGATATTTGCGAACGACAGTGAAATCTTTGGGCTTTTCAGGGAAACAGCAGAGAGAGGGGGGATGGGGGGATGGAGCGTCCGTGTCCCTTCTCAAACATCGAATGAATTCTCTTGTGATTTTATTCTCGCGAGATTTCACCCGCGCAATGACATTTGACCCCATCGTCTGAAAATGGCCGGATTGTCCTTCCCACGATACTACACGGGACCATACGAAATAAAGACACTTACCGGAAAAGCCGAGATCGGACCCCGTCTCACCAGTGTTATCCACCATTGGCTTTTCCCGCCCCTCGGTCATTTTCGAGACCACCATCAACTCCGACGTCCCTGCGAACGAGCCTCCTACACGCTTTACTGGGACTACGTAGACTTATTCCAATGCCGAATAAAACGAAACACGGTGCACTCGCCGAAGGTATATATCTATACAGGTCCATCTCCTCAGCATCCTATTCGTTCGTACTTTGTCATTCTAGTTCTCCTTAGTTCTCTTTCGGTATGTGCCGTCGACATCGGACGTGGCTCTCAACGCCAGGGGCTTTTCGAATTCCTCGGGCTGCACTTCAAGGGTGTAGTGCCTGGCGTCTACTTTACAACGCGGAAAGGGTCTTCGCTTAAAGGGGGACTGTCTGGGTGAAGACGACTGCACCTATTCGGGGCTGGCTGGTGGACGTGTGCGCTTCGTTTATTTTATTCTCACGGCTGGCCGGACAGAGAAGAGGCAACCCCCTCGAGTTCTTGAGAAGGAGGACACACGCGGCCGGCACGGAGTCAAGAACGAGGGGGGAGAGGAGGAAGCAAAGTGGTCTAGAAAAATGGCACGACGGAGGTGTTAGCGAAAGATGAAGCCTTTGAGCCTCCTAGGAATGATGCCACTTCGTTTCCTGCGGACAGCCTCCTATTACCGGGGGAATTACCGTTATCGTAAACTCTCACTGATAACGTCGGCAATGATATCAATTCTCTTTGAAACAACTGCATCGGTAGATCCCTTTGCACAATTCCTTTGCTAACCTCGTAACTTCGACTTTCCTGCTTACGAACGTCTTATTTCGTTTATTGCTGCTCGTCCAATTCCTGTTCTTCTTTTTTTCTTCTTCTTCGAACGTAAAAATTGAGGACGCGCAGTCTGCACTAAAAATAAGGACTGTCTTCTGACACGCTTGCGCTTCCAGATCTACCTGCATTTATGCATTTATGCATTTATGCAGGTACACCTGCGCCGAAACACTCTGCGCCGGCGCTCAGGTGGACACTCGTAAAGCACCGCGACGCCAGGCGTCGTAGTCGGCATCGGCCGGTCGTATCGCGAACTTCGCTTCCGATTCCAGAAGCGCCTTTCGCTCCCTCTCTGTGCTTCCGCTGAGCTTGCGCGTTCGCGTGTCCACCTGCTACGCACGAGAAAGTTCAAAACGGCACGCGACATCAGCGCGGAATTAAAGCGCTGGGATACTCGGACGCTTTGTACTTTGTCACGTCAAGGATATAGACGGAATTCAAAGTTCTCGTGAGTTTAAGACGGATGGACTGTTGCATAAGTGAAGAACGATCCTTTCGTTTTCTCTGGAAGATGCTCGTGGGAAATCTTTGCTGTTTACGCAAGAAAATCCGGAGAAGTGTTTGAGGCAATGTTTACATGCCATATCTGCACGTCAGCGAATCTTCGCGGCTGAATAATTTGAAAAATGAGGTCGTTCGTGGTGCTTAGAAAATTTTTGAGTTTTAGATGAATTTAATAAGGAATTACGCTCGAGAGAAATTTTTGGGAGAAAAATAATTTTGTGACCTGGGGAATAATTGTTGGATGGAAAGTAAAGATTAGCACCTGACGAATCGATGCTGGGATTCTGGAGAAACCGAATCTGCCAAAGGATACGGAAGGAGGGTAGGTGGAAGCGAAATAATTATTACTAGAGCAATTTGGAGAATAACAAGAATTTTGGTAAATTTTACTATTGCACTTATCGCACCAGAAAATATAAGAACTGTCAAGTCACTCGATTGGTTCTTATGTGTTCTTGAAACTATAATTGTTTTTCTTTTATGGGACGTGCCTGAGTGACTTTATAGTTTACTTCGTCAATTTGCTAAAATTGTTTTGACTGTCGCTCGAGACTTGCTATTGTCCAAATACTAACCGATGCTCTAGTAATGACAACAATACATTTTTCTCGCTGTAAAGAAAGGGAAAGACAAAGCGAAAGAGGGTGGCTCGTTGGATGGCGGACGAAATAGGGCGGAAAGCAATGAACTCCGCTTTCGAGTAAATAGTCGAGTACATAAATAAATAAATGAGCGCACGTGCGGCAACTGTTCCAATCCGAAAGGAAATAATGCGTAAATAGACATTGAATGGGAAGGTGTATATATACATATATATTCATATATAATAATTGGGCTGTTGCATAAAACACACTGAAACAGTGTTAACAATAATGAAGGAATAAACGGTTGAACGCATCATTGAATAACCATATTAATGATTAAATAAATATTTTTCAATGCCTCGCGAGTTCCATGATTTGAAAAGAAAAATTTTTTTCATGTTATATCTTTCCCTAGAAATTCGACAAATAATTCTACCTCGCGTAAATAAACAATAATGATCGTTCTATACCTTCCTCTCCTCGTCCAGCCTCTCTCCGTGAATCTTATGTAGGTGTCAGGTATTCCACGAATTCGTAAAGAAAAAAAAAAAAAAAAAAAAAAAAAAAAAAAAAAAAGTGAAATACAGGCGTAGTATATGACAAAGAAAATATTAAATATTGAAGATGATTCGTGTGATCTAAAATCGCGTTTGAAATGTATGCCTTGCAAAGTGAGTGATCGCACGACAATCGCGTGGGATATAGATACATAAAGATCCCAAACCCACTTCGACGTCAAGCGTCTCGTGTTCACTTGGTTTTCCCAGACAGATTTTGCCGCATGGCCTAAACAAACGTATCGCAGAATCTCATAGCGCTTTTTTACTATGTAAAATCAGGCAGAGCGACAATGAACGCGAGAGGGAAAGTATTTCTAGAGTAAACGAGATCTATGCCAGTAACGTGAGAGGGTAGGAAACCCGAGAATAAATAAAAGGACGTAAAATGAGAATAAAAAAAAATAGAAAAGTAACCCCGCGTCGAAAATAGTGATCCATCACGGTGCGTGTGCCGTGAGGTGGAAAACGTGGCTGGCATCTGTAGCTGTCTACCGTTTATCAGAGGCACGAACTTTCCTCGGTAAACCTCAAGAAAAGGCATGGATCGTCCATGCAGACCTTCCGCGTTGCATAAGCGTCTTCTTGATGCTGACAATAAGTTTTCTCGTTCCCCTGAACTTTTATCCACCCGGAGTAAAAGTCATCTTGAGAGAGACTCTGAAGCGCCTTTGAATAATACAGCCCTGGGAAAATGCATTGAATCATAATAGTCGCTCTATACGCGCCACGTCAGAGCGCGACGGGATCGTTTCTTTATACTTGAGCTCGTCTTGGCAACAAGTTGTAATTTTAAGTTGAGGCATCGCGACGCCTATGGTTCAGTGAACTCGTGCGAAATAGACTGCTTGCCAGGGATAGAGAGAGGGATGCTTTTTATATTCTTATACAACTTTTTTTTTTTTCATCCCCTCTTCTTCCCCGCTAAGCATCCGGCCGCCGGATACTTTTTGGTCGACACACCTTCAGCTGGAATAACATTGCTGAGTGGAGGCTGGCTAAGTGAAAAGTTTATTATCGTCATTCCTTTCTTAGTCTTCCACATGACGTAACATATATGGAGAAGGTGAAAGAGCGTGCTGATAAACTTGTGATAATTTTTGGGCTTTTAATTGAGTGAGAAAAAAAAGTGAAATAATTGTGACGTGAAGTGAAAATGGGAGTTATTTGTAGATAGGAGGGAGAAACGTAACCCGTCGAGTGTTACGGGTGGTGGTAATGGGGAACACTAACATTAGAAAGCAGGTCAGGAATCATTAAATTTAATTGACAGTAGAATAACAGGTCCTTGAATTAATTCAAGCAACAAGCCTAATGCCGCTATAGCCTCGGCGTATTATTTCGATGTGCTGTAACACTCGAAGTAGTTAGAGACTGGAAGCGTCGCGACGAGCCTTAACAATCGAATCTATAGGAAGGATCTCTCGAATAAGAAAAATAAAAAGTTCATAAGTGCGTTCTGCGGCATTTTTATCAGAAATATAATTGCAGTTGAGTGTACGTGAAGAAGTTGCTTGATTAGTGAGAAATTTGTTTAATTTCCATTAGCACGTGGCCGACGGTGATAGCTAGTGAAGAAAAAGGGTACAAACCTTAAACAACGAATTACCCATCGGGATGCCCGGAGGGTGCACACCCCCTGCGATGGATTTGGTGTTTCTCCTAGTCCTGGCATTACTACGTCAAGATGGTGAGTTATGGCTACATTTTTTTTCTTATCGGTTATCACCGTATCATCTCGTAGAAAATACCACTCTACTATTTATCGAGGAATTTCGTATTTCTAAGTTCACTTCCAGTGAGCCTAGAATGAACCTGACGCTTAAATACGGATTAGGTATAAAATATGATAACCACAAAAAAAAAGTTTGATAAAGTACGCAATAGTAAAACACTGGAGAATATAAGGTATATATGGTAATGCAGTATGGGGTGGCATCAGTGTCATGGAAAAGGAAAAAAGGGAAGGGTTTTGGTGGTCGATGGGTAAGTGCATCACGCCATACATATCAATACGGAGAGCAATGATGGGTCCGATATGAAATTTTAAGATGGCAAAACTTGCCGATGAGTTTAGCATAGATAAATAAAAGATGAGGTACTCGCTGAAAGCTTTTTGGCAAAAGCGAAATTTCGCCAGTCTCCTTCGCTATTTTACGAAGCGTCAAACGTCCAGTAAGAGCAGCTGGCTGGAGCCAGGACTTTTCGATTGGTTTACTCTTGCTTACCCTTTACTTATGTTTTCGGTATTATTTGTATTTAAAAAAATATTGTATATCGGACGAAGGAAGCGTGCCTCTCGCCAATAGGTGTATCTTTCGTCTATAAATACACGTAACAGGCATATTCCATTGAACTGGCATCTCTCTGTCGTAGCATAGGCACCTGATATACCTTTGGGAAATATCGGGTACAGTCACCCTGAAACTCCCTGTACAGAAGCCCCCGGCGCCCAACTACCCCCTTCTTAACCGGAATGGACTTTCGAATTGAAAGGGAAGACGGGGAATTTGGAAAATGGGGCCGCATGGAAATTTTATTGGTTCCTAGCGCGACGCCGCTTGCCTTCCTGATGAGGAGGCGTCGGCCGAGGAAGGTACGTGGACGATTTCGAATAAAAAGGAACCACGAACTTTCGTCAGGTGGGTAATAAACCTTTTCGATGGGAGCCAATCGAAGCGCGCCTTTCAGCGAATCCCGAGAATTCGGAAAGGTGTCGGTCGATGAGTGGAAGCCGGCGAGAAGGAGCAGGGAAATAGGATTCGAACTTGAGATTAGAAAGAGATAAAGTTATTGGCAATTCCATGAAACGAACGAGGCACAAGGCAATAAGACAGCTATGCTGATCCATAGGGAGTCTGGGAATAGATTTTTTTTCTTAATAATAGACTGTGGGAGTAACGACCGTCTTTTCTCTCGATTGCAAACTGCTCCGACGTTTCTCATTCGAAGGACTCGTCTAACGTTCGTTAATCGTCAGACTGCATATTTAAAGTTCAAACCTTCAGAAGGGCACTCGAAAAAGTGCGATTTAAGCTCTTCCAATTCTCCTCTGGCAACCCTCTCAAAACCTCCAGCTACCCTCCTGCTTTTACTCTTTCCACTTTTTGCCGCCTCCTTTTTTTTTTTACTTTCCTACCTTTTCGCCATTTTTACCACCTAGACCCTTCTGCGTCCTCGGGCGTACCTTGCTCTCCTCGTTCTCTCTTCAGTCTCTCTTCAACTGATCTCATCACATGCTTATCTCCGAAACGTGTGTATCGATAGTTCAGTCACTGGTGAACAGAGTCTTTCGGGTCTCTAAGGGTATTTCGACGAGGCTCTTTTTTCCATGTCTACGATGCCTACCTGGTGGCTAAAAGTGAGATCTGGTCCACAGTGCCGAAGAGGACTGGCTCACGGTTTCTTTTCGTTCGACTCGTGAGCAACTATGACGGCTAACTTTGATTATACATACTACACACCGCTACAGTTATCTAATTGGTGACCTAGGGGTACGCACAGGGGTGGGTCCGCACCCCCAGAGCACTCTGTGTACACAGTTCGTTGTCCAATGAAAGTTTCACGGATAGGTGAGCTACGGTTGATTAAATTCAGTCGCGGGACGCTTCCGTAAATGAAGTTACAGTCTCCCCGGCTCCGCTGGTTTTGCCGTTTTCGTCCACATATGGTCGATGCTGTATATGGAGGAGAGAACGGGAGGCGTCGAACAGAAAACACTGGAAAATAATTGACTGCGAATAAGCCCGTGCGGCGATCCCGCTAATCCATTATAAATTGATAGGAGGGCGGAGGAACAATTGCGTGCTGGTCGCCTTTTGTCATCAATTACGAATTACTTCTCTGTAAATTGGAAGAGGGTTGTTTTTAATGTACGTAGCAAGGTAGATACGTGTCAAAGTTCACTGGGACCAACTGGTTACTCAGGTCGAGGGAAATCAGTTAATTGTCATAATCCCCCTTCTGGAGGGAGAGGCGGAAAATTCGTCGCAGTTCTTCCGATTTTCCCGGTTCCCCTCCCTGGTCCACCCTTCTCTTAGTTCAGCCAAGATACCAGATCCAGCCATCCACCCTCTACGATACTCCCCAGCTCACCTTAAGATCTCTCCATCGTGTCATCCCGGAATGGCCATGTTGAAGATGGGCCACCTGGCCCTGGTCCAGAACAATTCCGCATGCTACTTGTGATGTCAGCAGGATGGAAAAAGAGACTGAGGAAGCTTAAAGGAACCAACGGAGTCATCCTTTCTTTGTCTATTTTTGTTCCGCTTCTCCTTCCTTCGAATTTTTTACCTTCGACTCTTCACCTTCCCTCGAGCCATCTTTTCCAGATTCAGGATTGGTCCGTTCGCCTCGCTCTGCAATTCGTTCAATCCTATCGTCCTATTTGCTTGTTCCTCGGTTGATGTCGAATTCTCTATTTTTAACGACTAACGAAATCTACCCTCTCGTGTCCACCCCCTGTCGTTTCAGTGAATCGAACGAGTCGCTATCGAACTTTTCTGTCGATGAGTTCAACTTGAATTTTAAACGCGCTTGCAACCAGCTAGAAAAACCTGTCAAACCTTCCCGTGTATGGATCGTATATAAAGCATATATCCACTTAAACTATATAAACTCGTAAATGATTCATTTGATCAATATACGGTTTCGTCTCCGACCGTTTCCCTATACGTATATCTAACCACAAATTGGCGTTTTCATTAGAGGTGAATAGAGTCTTTTCCTAAATTTCTATATTCGTCATCTACTGTTCCGTCGTGTCTCACATTGCCTAAATTCCAACAACAACAGTTGTCTAATAGCGAAGCGCACCAGCGCCTAATACATACATATGTAGTTACATATATCACAATCCCAGAGAAAACGCAACTAGTGGTTCCAAGTGTCTGAGCGCGCAGTAGTATCTCACCACGAGTTTCTTCCTTTTCTGCAGAGGAGAGACATCACATCCGGCACGTTACATCGCACAACGCGTTAAAGCCGAGACCGGTCTGGCTCGCGATGTAAATATTTAACTACCAGAATGGTCAGGAGGACCCAGGGCTAATCCGACCTACCCTTAGATTTCACTACGTACCCGCAGGCACTACTCACCCAGCGCAGGGGTTGTAAGTGACTGAAGTTGAAGATTCTTTTCTGATTCTTCATTCCTGTTTTCTACGAATAGTAAGAATTCCCCGGACGAGTCTGAGGCACTAGTCCCGGTGATGGTCGTCAAGGAGACTGCTGGGTTCAAGAGTTCAGAGAGGGACGTGCTTCCTGTTTCCGGTTAATTTTTGATGAAACTAAAAAATATTTGCAGGCTTCGGCGCACCTGTCTGGCCGGGTACAGTATAGCTAGTAGCTTGAATTCACCGATGGACTTCAGTATCTTCGTTCACGTGTACTTGCCTTTTTAGCCAGGTGAGGCAGGTGTAACGAGGCTACGCGAGGTTAAAGGTGGAAGGGTATAACCTGTGAGACTTGCAATTTATCTTGCACTGCTGGTTTGTACACTCGTTACGCAGTGAAACAACAAACATTGTTTACCTGCTCTCGATAGCTACACAGCTATTACCGTATCATAGCAAATGGAAGTTTACCATCTATGGAGCTATAGTGTATATAGATATATTAGTCGTACCTATGGGACTTGAAACCGTGCGAATGGCCTAGGCTGGCATAGGGAGGCATAGGGAGGCATAGGGTGGCACAGGGTGGCATAGGGTGAAACGAGCCCTTCTATTTTCCCCGGCACGACCATCACCGGGGAGTTAGCTATAAATACACAAATGAATCATTTCATTTGTATTATTACCGTGAGATTTTCAGTTCATTACTTTCCAAGTACAATGGAGCACGATTAGTCGTACAGTCCCTGTCTTGAAGTTTTTCTCATGCTCGAGAGTTTCTCTTTAGTTTTTCTGGCTTCTGGAGAATCCTCGCTAAAAAGAAGTGGCCGGAGAACAAGGCGAAGACTCGACTGCAGTTTCTCTTCCCGCGCTCCATTTCTTCTTTTACATTTTGCACTGTACCTTGCCTCCATACTTTGTCTCTAATTAAGCGGCAACTTTTGAATCTTACGAAATATCTCGGCATGACAACGGAAGTTCCATCGAGCACGTGACTTCCTGAGGTGGGTACACGTTACGTGCTATAGGCAGGCAGACATTTATAAGATATTTCAAAGTGCATTGACTTCCTACAATTTTTCTATAGTAACGCTCGATCCGACCCAACGAAACTGAGCTTGCGCAACTTGGTTAAGTTGCGCCACACGCGAATTTAATTGTCGACCAGAATCGATAATATGTGACGAATTCAAAATATGGAGACCAGAATGATTTTTCGCAGCGCGAGAAAGTTGTGTGCAATTTTGTTTTTCCCATCAATTTATTTACCCGCATCGGACTTGCAGAACGAACACCAGATTGTTTCGTTCGACCATTCGTAACGGTGTCGGAAATTTTCAGTCGCACAATAAATTCTACGAATCGTTGAATTTTACGTTTGACGAAACCGAGTGCGATCCTCCGTGTAGCGGAAGGGGCCGTGGTGTAAAGCACGTTCCGGCGACGCGCTCCTGACGAATTTTAGGAAATTCCATTTCCGCCAATCCATTATGCTCCTATTTTATTAAACTCCGAGCAGTCCCCCGCAACCACAATTGTATCCACTGACTTCTGGCCATTTCGTATAAAGCCATCC